TTTGTTCAAAAATACAATAAAAACGTACAATTATGAAATAGTATTACAATTTTTATGAACTATTTAGTATTGAATATATTTTAAAATGTAAATTCCTGTGATGCAACACTGAATTTTCAGCATCATTACTCCAGTCTTCAATGTCACACGATCCTTCAAACATCATTGTAAAATGCTTAGTGCTTAAGAAACATTTTAAATCAGTTGTTCTGTTTTTCTTTCAAATATATTCTTTAAAGTATGTGTGTGTGTGAACTGTGGTACATGTTCAGAATTCTTTAATGTATTATATAGAATTGTATTATATATGTAGTTATTGTACATTATATCATTTTTTGTCACTTTTGATCAATGAATAAAAACATGCATTCTTAATATATTTACAGTATATTATATATTATAATTGTAATTATTAATTAATTAATAGTTATAATTAATATAATTATGAATTATACTTTTTGAGAAGTTGGGTTTCATTATAATTTAATACTATAGTGTGGGAATGATTGGTGAAAAAACGTGGCATATATGTTTGGTTATTAAATGGATGGTAGTCACACGATCCTTCAAACATCATTGTAAAATGTTTAGTGCTTAAGAAACATTTTAAATCAGTTGTTCTGTTTTTCTTTCAAATATATTCTTTAAAGTATGTGTGTGTGTGAACTGTGGTACATGTTCAGAATTCTTTAATGTATTATATAGAATTGTATTATATATGTAGTTATTGTACATTATATCATTTTTTGTCACTTTTGATCAATGAATAAAAACATGCATTCTTAATATATTTACAGTATATTATATATTATAATTGTAATTATTAATTAATTAATAGTTATAATTAATATAATTATGAATTATACTTTTTGAGAAGTTGGATTTCATTATAATTTAATACTATAGTGTGGGAATGATTGGTGAAAAAACGTGGCATATATGTTTGGTTATTAAATGGATGGTAAAAAAATGATATGTCAAATACTAAACTGGTTGACAAAACAGGAATAATTTTTAAAGGGGTTGGGCTTACTAAAATGTACATTATAAGCCCAGTTATGGCTTTAAATCTTATAAAAAGTATTATAACTAAAAAAGTATTTTTATGACAAAACATATGTGTTAAGATGGGAGATTAACTTTGATTTAATACAAATTTAAAGGCTATTCACGTCAACAATCAATCCCTGTACGTTCTGTTTTGAACTCTGTTTAACATGAGTGTGTCTGAAGGGCTTTGAGTGTGTAGTGCTGCTCTGTTCTTTGATAAGGATGCAAGAGCATAAGTATTTTACCCTGATAACAGTGCTACATGTTGATAATTACAAAACAATTTTTTTTATTAATTAGAATATAACATTTGAATAGGTGCATATGGTAGAACCCATAGTAAGTAAGTGCCAAGGTACCATGTCAGTTCCATCTAATACCATCAGTATACCATGGTGCCATCTCTAAACGTAGTTTCCAAAGTAATACCTAATGTATAAACTATAACATTCTATTTTAAATTAAGACATCATGGCCAAGTCACCAAGAAAACAAATTAGTACAAGACGTACATGTCCTCATATCAGTGTTTATGATTAAGGGTGTGTGTGGTTGCATAACTGTTTTAGGACCAAAGCGACACTTGGTATTTTATTAGTGTATAATAACTGGGTCTTCACTTCAAGACATGACGTGTGTGTCTTTCTGGCCTGTATCTGCCCAGCGACTGTTCAGACACACACACACACAAAACATCAACATGGCTTGTTAAACACACAGAAATGACCTACAGCCTGTCCACACCTGTTCCTGTTTCCAACACAATGCTAGCGTAGTTTCCAAAGTAATACCTAATGTATAAACTATAACATTCTATTTTAAAGTAAGACATCATGGCCAAGTCACCAAGAAAACAAATTAGTACAAGACGTACATGTCCTCATATCAGTGTTTATGATTAAGGGTGTGTGTGGTTGCATAACTGTTTTAGGACCAAAGCGACACTTGGTATTTTATTAGTGTATAATAACTGGGTCTTCACTTCAAGACATGACGTGTGTGTCTTTCTGGCCTGTATCTGCCCAGCGACTGTTCAGACACACACACACACACACACAAAACATCAACATGGCTTGTTAAACACACAGAAATGACCTACAGCCTGTCCACACCTGTTCCTGTTTCCAACACAATGCCGTCACTGACCCGTTCATACAGTATATCAGTGTTACAAAATAATACACCACACACACTGAATCATGTAACATTGTCTTTTTGTTTTTTGCAGTGCCAAAACCTCAGATCAGGAGATGTTTCTCTTTGACTGAAGAAAAGTGGAAAATGTGACTGTGCCAGTAATTTTAGTGATAACAATGTGAAATAATTTCTTTAAATCTATTTTTACTTACCTACTTAAAAAAAAAAGTGAAAGAAAATGAAATGCTGAACTCATTTTTGAACCTCATAAAAGGTGCACAATATCTCAAAATATCTCTGTTTACAGGAAGATATGTTCTGTGTAAAGTAATGGCACTTCTCTGCTTGAGAGTGTATGAGAGGCGTCTGCTCAGATAACACATTTACAGGAATGTGTTTGTGTGTGTGTGTGTGTGT